CCAACATGTGACGTTTCGGACATTAACCACTCGTGCAGTCGGGAGACCGTGAGGAATATCATAAATGTCCAACGCAACGACACCTGTCGATGCCCAAAGAACCACACTTGCAAGCTGGCTCAAAAGACCTTGAGCACGATTCGCCAGTTCCAGTGTCAGCCAGACTCCCATTCGGTGTAGATGACGTCGGGATTCAACCACTATATGTATACGTATATTTATATATGTTTATATGTAAATTTATCTGTACGTATACAAGAAAATTGTATATACGTATATTATAATCTGTATGTATATGTATAAACATATACATAAGCACATATATTTATTTTAATTGATATTAAATAATATACATCTCTAAGATATACATGATGATATATATATATATATATATATATATATATATATATATATGCTCATATTTTTCTTTCCATTTTGAGGTCAATATTTGATAAATTATAAAAAGGTTATTTTTTCTTTCTTCATCACATATACAAAGCAGATGCGCAACCATACTTTCATATATATATATATATATATATATATATATATATATATATATATATAATTACATTTTGTTCCTTTTCATTATTTTCATTTAGAGGTCAATATTTGATAAATTAAAAAATTAATTTTTCTCTCTTCTTTCATCACAAAACAGACATATAAGCATATGCTTGCATATAAAAGTAATACAAATATACATATATATATATATATGTCTGTACATTTTATGATATATATATATATATATATATATATATATATATATATATATATATATATAAACGAATGAATAAATATAGGTAGGTATACGTGCGAGTGATCGTATGCAAATACATATACATACTCTATAGTGTAATAAAAAATAGTGCCCAATGTTAAATAACAGAGCTATTTAAAATATATATTAAGAAATATACGTAATATCTTACATTAATTGCACAACTCTGAGTTTCATGCTGAAGCAATTTTCAAGTGTTCTTTTTTTTTTAGAAAAATTATTCTCCGTTATTAATAATATTAGAAAAAGTACTTGAAAATTGCTTCGACATGAAACTCGGAGTTGCTCAATTAATGTAAGATAGTATTATATATTTCTTTACATATATATGTATATATATATATGTATATAAACAAGTTTTGTTAAATTCAATAGAAAATGGTTTTTTAATCTTTTTATTGTATATTTTCAATTTTCGACCACGATGTGCATAAGCTGTTCAAAATTCACGTTTTTTTTTTAATGTTATCGATCAAGTCCTTTCGACGAATTCGGTCATTATAAAGTATTGAATGCTGTCAATATGATAAACAAAATTTTATTGGATATATCCTGGCAGTCTTTGGAATGATTAAGACATGAATTTTGGACATTTAAACTTTTATTCCGACGTATAACATACGAAAATTATTTAAATACAATAAAATATTAAACCGACAGACATTTTTGAGTGAAGCACATAACAAAACTTTCTGGGATTAATTTTTGATGCTGAATGAAACCTCATACGTTTAGATATGAATTTCATTTATTTTATTGCTGACTTTTTACAAAAGATTTTCTTTGTAAACATTCAGCCATAAAAGATCGCATATGTATTTATACTTGAACAGGCAATATGTCAGCAGATCAGTGGCTTTGTTTCCTTGTCTTATAATCTTACAAACATAAAATTAAACCTATTTCCCTTTCCAATGATAAACCCAAACAAGTAAAAAAAAAAGAAAAGAGATGATCCTCGAAAAGTATTTACAAAACATTTCGTTGGCATCAAGAGAATAATACGTAGAATTGCAGTCTTTTTAAACTTCCGTAAATTCGAAATAATCGTTTTGATATTTGAAGGTGAACTCTGTTTTGTCTAGCGCGTAAAATATCAAATATTTCAAGAGGTCGTGAAATTCTCCATTTTAAAAGCGAAGATACATTTTCTCAACTCATAATATCGGTTTATTTATCCCCAGTTTCCGATCGTATGACCTCCGCATCTTACATACGAAATTTCATATTTATATCAGTGCTTGCGTATATAATATTATCTTTCTATATGTGTGAGTACGTGTATTTACACACGCACACATAGAAAAATATACATATAGACATTCGCTATAAGTTATTTATACATTAAGAAAAATAACAACTACATTCACATACATTTATATAGGAGCAACTTAATAAAAAAGATCGAAATGATGGACAATTTTTGTCTTTGTTTTCACCAGAAATTAAAGCAAACATTCTTACATTAGAACAGCTCATGATCAGACATAATAGGACATTCATTGTCTGTTATATTTAATAACATATATATATATATATATATATATATATATATATATATATATATATATATATATATACAAGTATATAATTGGTATATATGGAATGAATTCCAATAACCAACAATTACTATTCTTAAAAAGAGTGCTCAATACAAAGTAGAGCAGATATAATTATAATAATATATATAATAAGTATGTTATAAAATCACTACAAAAATAGCCATTTGTTTCAACACACTAAGACACAGAGTGTGTTGAAACAAAATTTATTTTTAATGATTTTATAACATACTTATGTTATAATTTTTTTAAAAAAATAATCATATATATATATATATATATATATATATATATATATATATATATATATATATATATATATTGTGTGTGTGTAAGTTTACCTTCATATGTGTGTGCGCGAAAGATCACCTTTAAATATACATTGTTTTATGAATTAGAAAAAACACAATAATCTTCATACGCATATATGACTGTGCAAGCGTATCTCGAGGAGCATGATTGAAACACAAGTACAAAATTACAAAAATTGTTGTATATATATATATATATATATATATATATATTGCACATATAGTGCTGGTGGTAATAAAACAGTGCTCAATGCAATACAACAGAGCTATTAAGTATATTATGTTAACAAATATACATATTATCACTCACCGATAGCACAACGCAGTCTTTAGGTGCTAAGTTTAGCACCTGAACATTGCTTTGTGCATGAAATTCCGTGTCGCACTATCGGTGATGGATATATATATATATATATATATATATATATATATATATATATATATATATATATAACGATGATTGTATTTTTACCAAAAAAAACTATGGTCGACCAGCGTGTTTCGGGAAGATATCGTTTTAAGGCAAGAAGTTTTTTTTTCTCATCAGAGTGCTTCATATCAGTAGATAGATCATTAAAAAGAAATACAATTAAATGTTCACTTATCTTGTACCTACTGTGGTTTTCACGAAATTACACCCACTGTTCAGGAAACTTGATTGTAAATTTGGATATATTTTCAAAAATCATTTTAATACATAAGAAATGATTTCAAAAAATAAAGCCAATTTTACAGTCAAATCTTCTGAAGAGTGGATGTAATTCCGCAAAACTGACATTAATTACAAGATAAGTGAACATTTAATTTTAAATATTTTTATATTTATTTTATATGTAGGTTATTTTATAATTATATACATAAAGAGAGATAGACAGCGAGAGAAAGGAAAGAGAGAGAGAGAGAGACAAAAACATGGAAAGATTTGTAATTATAACAAGACCCAATTGATAGTATAATCTGACAAAGATCTAGAGTAACTATTATTACATCGAATCGTGTCAGTATCATAAATTTCACCTTTATATAAAAAATGACGGCTACCACCTCGTTGTCGAATATGACCATCGCAAGATATCATTGTAAGACATAATTGTGGTTTACGATATCAAGCTTTGTACATGAACTATTTAAAAGGGAGAAAAACGTTGCACTAAGCCAATGGCACTTTCTCTGCAAGAATAGTAAGCACTCAAGAAGCGATCAACATCTTTGGATGCTGTCAGACCGCTGATGTTACATAAGAGTTTTCCTTCTCTTAGATGGATACCTTAACGAAGGTCGACTTATCACGTGCCTGGACTCCAGTCCATGTATTTCTACATCCTCATGCCGATATACAGAAATAGCAACTAAATAAACATCTGATTTTGTATTGCTAATATTATGGAAGGTAAATGATCTTTACTGGGATTTCTTGCAATCGATATGTCAAGCCACGCAACCTAATTGACATGAGACAGACTTATTCGTTAAATAAGAGTTTTTAACGTTTTTGCTGCGTAGAAGAGTTTGCTGAATGATTTATTTATTTATTTATTTTTTATTAAATATCGATGCTCACTTTCTATGATCACTTTCACAGTAGCAGTCTCTTTTTTGTCAACAGACAGATCTGCAAGTGCAAGAGAAATAAGATTCAAAGAGTAGAATTTCAATCAGTCAACTTTCTCGTGAAAGATATGGCGACAATCTCCGCTAATCTGCACTTCGCTATTAATAATTAAAGGCGACGCTTTCTCTCACTTTATATTTCCCAGGCTCTCTTTCTCGCACGCACGCGCGCACACACACACACACACACACACACACACACACACACACACACACACACACACTGCCAGTCTCACATAAGCACATAAATATACACACGGACACACTTTTATTTATACATATATAAATATTACTCTTAAATATAGCATCTTAATATCTTAAAACTGCATTTTATCATATATATGTATATATATATGTGTATAAAGTATATATATATATATATATATATATAAAGTATAAATATATAAAAGTATATATATATAAGTATATATATATATAAGTGTATATATATAGAATTATATATAAAGTATATATATATATATATATATATAATATATATATATATATATATATATATATATATATATATATATATATATATATATATATATATAAAATATATATATATATATATATATATATATATATATATATATATATATATATATATATATATATATATATATATATATATATATATATATATGACAGACTGGAAAAGTTTTTTGTCTAATTTTTTACAAAAAAAAGTGTTTGTTGATATGTAAAATTATTCAAAATTATATGTCGTTATATCATATATATATATAGAGAGAGAATATGTTACGCTAAAGATCAGTCCACCATTTGTATTCGTGGAAGATGTTTTGTTTTTGGTAAACAGTTTTTGTAATTACAGTACAGTGCTCAATTTCTAGGGATATTAATGTATTCTTATAATAATGTTGATAATAATAATAATAATAATAATAG